CCCCCCCCATGCAGGCCATAGCACACTACGAGCAGGCTGCGGATTACTACAAAGGAGAAGAGTCCAACAGGTGATGCTTCCGTCGCCCCTCTGAAGGTGGCCGCCCCCCAAAACGCCACCGACCCCCCCCCCAAAAAAAAATGGCAGTGGGGGCCGTGGGGCTGCGCTGAGCTCCGTGTTCCCCGCAGCTCGGCCAATAAGTGCTTGCTGAAGGTGGCCACGTATGCGGCGCAGCTGGAGCAGTACCAGAAAGCTGTGGAGATCTATGAGCAGGTGGGGCCCTGCAGCAAGGAGCTGGGGGGGATCGGGGTCCTCTGCCCCATAACTGGGGGTCCCTCTGCCCCAGAAGTGGTGGTTATGGACACCTCGGTGTCTTGTGCCCCATAACTGGAGGTCCCTCTGCCCCAGAAGTGGTGGTTATGGACACCTTGGTGTCTTGTGCCCCATAACTGGGGGTCTCTCTCCTCCAGAAGCAATCATTACGGGCACCCCAGATCCCTCTGCCCCATAACTGGTGGCGGTGGATCCCCCCCAGTGCCCTGTGCCCACCGCCCTCTGCTTATTCCCTGCAGGTGGGCACCAGTGCCATGGACAGCCCCCTCCTCAAGTACAGCGCCAAGGAATATTTCTTCAAGGCCGCGCTCTGCCACTTCTGCATCGACATGCTCAACGCCAAGGTCGGTGCCGTGGGGGTGGGGGTCTGGGGGGGGGTCTGGGGGCGGGGGGAGCCTTGCAGGTGACCCCAAGGCGGTGTTCTCCTCCAGCTGGCCATGCAGAAGTATGAGGAGATGTTCCCTGCCTTCACGGACTCACGTGAATGCAAACTGGTGAAGGTGAGCTCTGTGGGGCTGGGAGTGCAGCCAGGAGCCCGTGGGGTGGGTGGGGGCGGTGCATCCCCCCCCCCCCACTGCTCCCCAATCTGTGCACGGGGATGGAGCCAGGAGTGGTGACGCAGAGCTGAGGGTTTTCCTGCAGGAGGAAATGGGTTTTCCTCCCGGAGGAAGCGCTGGGGGGCAGCCCCATGGATCAGTGGGGCAGCCCCATGGATCAGTGGGGCACCCTGTCGATCAGCAGGGCACCCCGTGGATCAGTGGGGCAGCCCCATGGATCAGTGGGGCACCCCGTGGATCAGTGGGGCAGCCCCATAGATCTGGGGGGCTGATCCTCTTTTTATTTTCTTTTCTCCCTTTGCCAGAAATTGCTGGATGCTCACGAGGAGCAGAACGTCGACGCCTACACCGATGCGGTACGTCCAACGGCCCCCATCTTCTTTCCCTGTCCCCCCCCCCAATTCCTCCCCCTATTTGGGGCTCTCCCACATCGCCCCACATTCCCCCACCCCCCCCCCACGTGTCCCTGAAGGTGAAGGAGTACGACTCCATCACACGCCTGGACCAGTGGCTGACCACCATGCTGCTGCGCATCAAGAAGACCATTCAGGGGGAGGAGGAGGACCTGCGCTGAGCCCCCCCCCCCCCGCCTCCCCCTGTACAGGAACCTCTGCCCCCTCCCCACTATTTAATTCTCGCAGCAATTTGGGGTTTGAAGCTTTGGGGTCCCCCTCGCTGCTCCGGGACCATGAGGGCTGGGGGGGGAGGGGGTCCCAAGATCTCTGAGCCCACCACCCCCAATTTGGGCAGAGCCCCCCACCACAGCCCCTCTTCTCCGGCTGCCCCACAGTTATGGGGTGAGGAGGAGGGTGCCAGCCCCGGGGGGGTGGGGAGGGGGCTGCTGCATCCCCCCCTTTGCTGTAGTGCCCCATTGCGCCGTGGCCAATAAACGTTGCATGAGCGGAGGGGGCTCTGCGTGCTGCTGGGGGGCCCGAATTCCTGGGGGTGGAGTCCATCGTCCTGCCCCACAGCATCGCCCTGTTTGCCCCACAGCTCCCCCTCTTGTCCCTTTGCAGGTGGTTCTGCCCCACAGCCCCCTTTCTGTCCTTCTGTGCCCCATAGCCGCCCCATAACCTCCCCGTCTGCTCTCTTTTGTGCCCCGTTTCCCCTCAGCATCACTTTTTTTGGGGGGGTTTCTGTGTGCCCCACGGCTGCCCCACAGCCCCCCATCCCCCTATAGGGAATGCTGCCTCAGGCCCCGCCCCCTGCCTTCAGACCACGCCCCTTCCATCCGGCCACGCCCACTTCCCACCACTCCCCGCTTCCCATTGGTGCTCCGTCCGCCCACCCGTCGCCGATCAGTGACGTCACCGCGCCGCGCGCATCGCAGGCCCCATCCCCCAGAGCGGCGGTGTCGGGGCTGCCCCGCGCCGCGCCGGTCCCGGTTTGCGGATAATGGCGGGGCCGTGCCCGCTGGTGGAGGACAGCTGCAGCCGCCTCCCGTCGCAGAGCAACGTGTACGGGCTGGCGGCGCTGCCCGGAGGCGGGGGGCTGCTGGCGGCCACGCTGAAGGGCAAAGTGCTGCACTTCCGCTACCAACACCTGCGGCACAAACTGCGGCCCGTGGCGCGAGAGCTGCAGTTCACCTACATCCCGGGTCAGGGGGCGGGGCCGGAGGGCGTCTACTTCCGGGTCGCGAGGGTGGGCGGAGTCACGTGGTGGCCTGCAGCCCCCGGGTGGGGGGCGGGGCCATCTGTGAAGGGGCGTGGTCTGGGGGTGTACTGCGGCCAATGGTTGTGCCGGATTGGGAGCAGGGGCGGGGCCAAAAAAAGGGGGCGG